AACCTAACCTAACCGATATAGTTGCATTAAGTAAATCTGATATAATATTATTGATGGTGGACAAGATATTCTTAGTGTGTGTGTGTGTGTGTGTGTGTGTGTGTGTGTGTGGGAATGATCGTAACCCACAGTCCAGTTGCCCCACACACACTACTATTCCCGGTCAGTTTAAGATAAAATATTGTGCTTATTATGTAGTTTTAGTAATCATAATTGACATACAGAACAGTTCATCATAAATTTATGGTCGTATTTCAACGATAATTTACTTGAGTATACTGATGATGACTATTGACGGAGGTTGGCTGTCGGGCGGGGGAGGTTGGTAAATGATTCAGGGTAACCTCACCACAGTCAGAGAATTTGTTGTCATGACCAGAGAGTGTGTATATTTTTTCGGGGAGTTTAAGGAGAGTGATTGGGACAGGGGGAGGAGGAGGGCAGGACGGGACAGGGGGACGGGTGGTAAATGATCATGGGGTAACCACAACAGTCTTTCAATCTGGTGTTGTCCCTTTATTGAGATGATGGTTCTTGTATGGGGGGTTGTAAATTAAGGGCCGCCTCTTACGTACCCATCAATTCTATTAGTTATCACAGTAAAAATTTCTTATGTGTTATAAAAACGTATCTAGATAGAGAATAGATATGAACCCTAGTGTCTCTTATTTATACATATATATATATCATACATAGTTTATTCCGTATTCCACGTATATATATTATCATAATAATAATAACACTAATACTACTACTATTATTATTATTACTACAACTACTAATACTATTATTACTATTATTACTACTACTACTACTACTATTGGTAATAATATGAACAACACTATATAAGGTTAGGTTAATAACATACAACTACTAATAACCCATTGTTTATTACGTCATACAGGAGAGCATGAGATAGTGTTAGTGACAGCTAACAACGTCAGCTACAGGTGCCAGCTAACAAGGTGAGCTAACAAGGCCAGCTCACAGGGCTAGCTAACCAAGCTAGCTAACAGAGCCAGCTAACAAGCCCAGCTATCAAGTCCAGCTCACCAGGTCAGCTAACAGGGCCAGCTAACCAGGTCAAATAGTGGTTCAACAGCTTATAATATTTACAAAAAAAAACCCACAGACAGTAAAGCTGCTTTTGTTAGTTGTGTTTACCTGCCCAGTGTCAGCCCTTCCTGACGTATCTGCCTCATTAGTCTGTATATACAGGTGTGCACAAAACTCTTCACTAACACACCTTTGAGTTTATTTTATGACTCACATTTTCTCTGAGTGTTTATGACCCTGTCTTTGTAATCTATTAAATGTACAGGAATATGGTGACCTCCTACACTGCCTTTGTGATCTAATAAACACATATCACTGAAATAAGCCTCATGTATTAAATATTACATGTCTCGGGTTGGTTAGGTTAGGATAGGTTAGGTTAGGTTAGTGTTAGGTTAGTGTTAGGTTAGTGTTAGGTTAGGATAGGTTAGTGTTAGGTTAGGATAGGTTAGTGTTAGGTTATCTTGGTAATTGTGAAACGGGAGAATAGCGAACTCTGGCGGGCCATCACTGACTAAACTCACGTAAAATAAAAAAGATGATAATAGCCACTTTGATATTTTTATTTCTTTATGAAGCATTATTTCTCCCTCCCCTGGTGAGCTGTGTTGAACCATTGACAGTATAATGTTAGTACTACTCATCAACAACTATGGTCTTTAACAGCGTAATGAGGTTAGTAATTACACTAATTCATCAACATATACAAATTACAAGTGTTAAACAATCCCAATACGGCAGTTAAACCCGTTGGCTAACAGTGTCAGCTAACAGAGTAGGCTAACAGTGTCAGCTAACAGAGTCAACTGTCAGCTAACAAGATCAACTGACACTAAGCAACACCGTCAACTTACCGGCTTAGCAAATTACGCTCAGCTAACATGGCAGCTAAGACGTTCAGCAGGCAGCAGTGAGCAGCCTCTTCCTATGTTATGATATGATTCGTGATATGTGCAACCTAAACACGTGGCTTTGTTTACAAACACTTATTTTCCCGCCACAATTTCCACGCTATATCCGTAAACACTATAGTTCCAGCCTTCAGTTTCTTTCCAATTTATTTGATCCATTTCGTTTCTGAGCGTTATTTTTCACTCCATATAATTCACAAATCTGTATTTTTCTCTCAGTTTCCTTTATAAACCTCCTGTCTTATCCACGCCCCATGTAACCGCTGGTCATTCACTCAACACACTACTTTGATCTTCCTCCTCCACAGTCGCCACCATTGTCTGAGGTATATTAAATGTAAACACCTCCTCACCTCGCCCTGACCCACCGTCATAGCCTCACTCCTTTGATCCATTTGTAAACACACACTTTGATCCACTTGATGTAATTGTTTGATCATCACATAATGATCACATATAATGATTAATAACACGGGTTCTGTACATTACTATTATTATTATGGTATAACTATTGTAGACACATTATTAGTTTTACTACTAAACTACTATAGTACTACTACTATATTGTGTAAGCTAATATGACAACACTACGTCTAGGTTAGGTTATAACAGTTTACACATAATAACCCATCTACGTTATATCATCACACTGTAGCATGAGATAGTGTTAGTGACAGCTAACAACGTCAGCTACAGGTGCCAGCTAACAAGGTGAGCTAACAAGGCCAGCTCACAGGGCTAGCTAACCAAGCTAGCTAACAGAGCCAGCTAACAAGCCCAGCTATCAAGTCCAGCTCACCAGGTCAGCTAACAGGGCCAGCTAACCAGGTCAAATAGTGGTTCAACAGCTTATAATATTTACAAAAAAAAACCCACAGACAGTAAAGCTGCTTTTGTTAGTTGTGTTTACCTGCCCAGTGTCAGCCCTTCCTGACTTATCTGCCTCATTAGTCTGTATATACAGGTGTGCACAAAACTCTTCACTAACACACCTTTGAGTTTATTTTAATGACTCACATTTTCTCTGAGTGTTTATGACCCTGTCTTTGTAATCTATTAAATGTACAGGAATATGGTGACCTCCTACACTGCCTTTGTGATCTAATAAATACATATCACTGAAATAAGCCTCGTGTATTAAATATTACATGTCTCGGGTTGGTTAGGTTAGGATAGGTTAGGTTAGGTTAGTGTTAGGTTAGTGTTAGGTTAGTGTTAGGTTAGTGTTAGGTTAGTGTTAGGTTTAGGATAGGTTAGTGTTAGGTTAGGATAGGTTAGTGTTAGGTTATCTTGGTAATTGTGAAACGGGAGAATAGCGAACTCTGGCGGGCCATCACTGACTAAACTCACGTAAAATAAAAAAGATGATAATAGCCACTTTGATATTTTTATTTCTTTATGAAGCATTATTTCTCCCTCCCCTGGTGAGCTGTGTTGAACCATTGACAGTATAATGTTAGTACTACTCATCAACAACTATGGTCTTTAACAGCGTAATGAGGTTAGTAATTACACTAATTCATCAACATATACAAATTACAAGTGTTAAACAATCCCAATACGGCAGTTAAACCCGTTGGCTAACAGTGTCAGCTAACAGAGTAGGCTAACAGTGTCAGCTAACAGAGTCAACTGTCAGCTAACAAGATCAACTGACACTAAGCAACACCGTCAACTTACCGGCTTAGCAAATTACGCTCAGCTAACATGGCAGCTAAGATGTTCAGCAGGCAGAAGCCTCTTCCTATGTTATGATATGATTGGTGATATGTGCAACCTAAACACGTGGCTTTGTTTACAAACACTTATTTTCCCGCCACAATTTCCACGCTATATCCGTAAACACTATAGTTCCAGCCTTCAGTTTCTTTCCAATTTATTTGATCCATTTCGTTTCTGAGCGTTATATTTCACTCCATATAATTCACAAATCTGTATTTTTCTCTCAGTTTCCTTTATAAACCTCCTGTCTTATCCACGCCCCATGTAACCGCTGGTCATTCACTCAACACACTACTTTGATCTTCCTCCTCCACAGTCGCCACCATTGTCTGAGGTATATTAAATGTAAACACCTCCTCACGTCGCCCTGACCCACCGTCATAGCCTCACTCCTTTGATCCACTTGTAAACACACACTTTGATCCACTTGATGTAATTGTTTGATCCACATCACATAAATGATTTTGGTTCGGGTTCTGTGCATTATATGATGGTATACTGTAGACAGTATTCCGTTTTCTGTATAAACACTAAGTTAGGTTATATGTGAGGACATTTTCTACGTCTGTTTGACATTATTGTTTACCATTGTCCTCATCTACGTTATATCATCACACTGTATCACTTAGATCTATTAAATAACAATCCATTGTTTCATTCCACTCTGGCATTACCACGGCCTCAGTTTCCAACGATGTAGTTGACCTTAAACAACTAGGTAGTTTACACACTACAACTTTCATCTAAGCCTATAGTCTCTTCAACTACAGTGTTACAAAAGTTTTACCTTTAATTTGTTATTGATTTAAAGCTAAATATGAACATATAACAATATCAGTGTGTGTTGACTTGGTCGGTTCTGACTGATGTAGTGTAAGTACAAGAAGGGAAGTACGTGTGGCGGTAACTACGGTATATACTCAGTGAAGCACAGACACCCAGGTATATACAGTACACACATTCTCAACATCACAGTAGACAGGGACTGAGCTAGGGCAGGTGCAGTATATACATAAGCTACGCTAGACCTTAAATCTAGTTTTGTCGCCGAAATGCAACTCCTGTATTGTTCCGCCGAGATGAGGCGCCGCTGTTGGTGTGTTTACTGTTCCTGCAGGCCAGTCATTACCCCCCGAGGCCAGCTACTGTCTCCTAAGGCCAGCCACTGTCCTTTAAAGCCAGTTACTGCACCGTGAGGGCAGCCTCTCCCGTGAGGCCAGTTACTGCCCCGTGAGGCTGTGGGGTCACTGGATAACCCTCTAGGCCAGCCATCATGAATTCTTCAGATCAGACGCTGACGGTGAAGGACGGGGGGGGGCTGGTCACTCAGCCGAAGGAGGGGACACACCTGGTGAGCGGGGCGGACCAACGGCGGGTGTGGAGACAAGTGAGGCGGTCAGGTCCTGCGGGGCGGTACCCGGGGCGGCAGGTGACAAGGACGTTGGCCCCGACGTGGTAGCGGGGCCGCCGGGGTGACACACGCCCGTGTTGGGGCTCCCCGGGATGACTACACGACTCCACGCCTACACCCGGGAGAGAAAAATATAAATAAGAAATTACAGACGCTAACATTTGCTTGTCTCAGGTCACTAGCTCATAAAACATGGCAGTAAACAACATGCGACATTCAACCATTTTGTAAACACTCGTCTGACAGTTATACCACATCTCACATTACTACATAAACTCATATATATTTTTATAACAATATACAGAGGAGATAAATAAAACAAACGATATACCGACAACAATTAAAGTTACCAATTAGTAAATACATTGATTGAAAAAAAAAACAATTCTCAAATTTTTCATGTTTTAAATTGTCTGTCTAACATATATGAAAAATTATGCCGCTCGAAAAATGAATAGAGATGAAATATATAAACAGTGTTATTTAGTTCGAATTAAACCAAAAATATTTACTTGTTATTGACAGTTTGTGTAGTGGACATATAACGGGAATAATAAATTTGACGTTCGGGGAAAAATCAAAGGCGAATACTAACTGGCAATTACTTCACAGCTCGACTTGACAAATGTAAAAAATACCACAGGAAATTTGTTGTTGATTCCCAGATGACAAATATTATTTTAATGAACAAAACTTGGTGGTGGAAAGTCCTTAAAATATTCACTGTGTTTAAATGTTTACTCAGTGGGGTAAAATGTTAATGGATATCTTACACACACATACACTCAACATACTCACACATACTTAACATACACCCACACACACACACACATACGGGAGGAGAAACAAAGGTAAGGGAGAAAATGAGAGGCTAGAGGTTAGAGGTCAGAAGTCAGAGGTCACGAGGTGGCACAGGTGAAGACTAATCAATGAGACCACAGGTGAGTAGACTACCGTATGAGGCCACCAGAAGCCTTATACCGATAGATAGATAGATAGACAGACACACAAACAGATATATAGATAGAGGCAGAATGACTGATAGACAGGCAGACAGACAAATAGACAGATAAACAGTCAATCATTTGCTCAAAGATGGTGAACGGAGTTAAGAGAGAGAGACAGACAGACAGACTGATATAGATACAGATAAACAAACAGACAAATAGACAGGTACAAACAGACAAATAGACAGGTACTCACAGGTGGGCGGGGGATAAGACGAGGAGACGAAGACACACACACACACACACACACACACACACACACACACACGGTACTCACAGGTGGGCGGGGGGCACACACAGGTACCTCACAAGTGGGCGGGGGTGTGACCAGGTGCCGTCGCTGGTGCAGAAGGTGAGGGCGTGACCACGGACGACGGGGGTCACAGCTGAAGAAAGGGCGTCCCCACCTGCCGGGAGCTGGACCCCGTCACCTGGCCATGTTCAGGGGCGTCTACTGCCTCACACACCACCTCTGGGGGAGAGAGAGGGGGAGATGACCTCTGGGGAGAGAGGGAGATGACCTCTGGGGAGAGAAAGGGTAGATGACCTCTGGGGGAGAAGGGGTAGGAGATGACCTCTGGGGGAGAGAAGGGGTAGGATGACCTGGGGAGAGAAAGGGATGACCTCTGGGGGAGAGAAGGGAGAAGAAACAGAGATAAAAACAGAGAGAAGGTAAAGGGGACAAGATTGCCTTATGGAGAGAGAGAGAGAGAGAGAGAGAGAGAGAGAGAGAGAGAGAGAGAGAGAGAGAGAGAGGGAAAATAAAAGGGGAAAAGACAAAATGAGGACAAGAATAAAAATAAAAACAAAGAGATGTCATCTCCTTAGTTAGGTGAGGAGGACGGGAGGGTGAGGGAGAGTGAGGGAGGGAGGGTGAGGGAGAGTGAGGAGAGTGGGCAGGGAGGGTGAGGAAGAGTGAGGAGGAGGAGGGAGAGTGAGGGAGGGAGGAGAGTGAGGTGGGAGGGGGTGAGAGGAAGGGAGGGAGGGAGGGGGTGAGGGAGAGGAGGGAAGAGTGAGGGTGAGTGTGGGAGGTGAGGCAGGTGAGGAAGAGGAGGGAGGGAGAGGGAGGGAGGGAGGGAGAGTGAGGGAGGGAGGGAGGGAGGGAGGGAGGGAGGGGAGGAGAGGGAGGGGGAGGGAGGGAGGGGAGGGAGGGTGGGGAGGGAGGAGGAGGAGGGGAGGGAGGGAGGGAGGGAGGGAGGAGGGGGTGAGGGAGGAGGGTGAGGGAGGGGGGGAGGGGTGGGGAGGTGGGGGGGGAGGGTGAGGCAGGTGAGGGAGGGAGGGGGGAGGGGGAGGAGGGAGGGGGGGGAGTGAGGGAGGGAGGGAGAGTAGGGAGGAGGGGAGGTGAGGAAGAGTGAGGGAGGGAGGAGGGGAGGAGGAAGAGTGAGGGAGGGAGGGGAGAGTGAGGGGGTGAGTGAGGGAGGGAGGGTGAGGGAGAGTGAAGAAGAGTGAGGGAGGGAGGGAGAGTGAGGGAGAGTGAGGCAGAGAGAATGAGGAAGAGTGAGGGAGGGAGGGAGGGAGAGTATGGAGGGAGTGAGGAAGGAAGAGTGAGGGAGAGTGAGGGAGGGAGTGAGAGAGGGAGAGAGAAGAGTGAGGGAGAGAGTACAATGAGGGAGAAAGTACAATGGGGGAGAGAGTACAGGCAGTATTGTTCTCACCACCACAGTTATAAAGTTATAGAAAGTTGGAGAAAGGTTTGCTTCTGTCATGACGCCTGAAGTTACGATTGTTCCCCGTTTACCTTGTTACCTTGACAACCTGAGTTACCTGGGCGTAATGGGTCAAATCTCTCTACCTTGAAAGGAGCAGGGGATGTGACCTTGATATAGTGCTGTTATGACCAATTACCTGTGATCGGATGATTTACCTTGACAGGTGGGTAATGACCAGGTGAGATGCCCCCATTCTTTTACCTTGACAGCTAAACAAGGGATGACATCTCCTTGACAGCTAAGTCCAGGGTGAAGATCTACTCCTTGACAATAAACCAGGTGAGATGCCCCCAGTCTCTTACCTTGACAGCTAGGCACGGGGTGAGACCAGGTGCCATTAGCGGTGCATCGAAGAACACGGTGGCCCAGCAGACGGAAGCCGGGTACACAAGCGAACACCGCTGACCCCGTGTAGGAGGTGTTGGCGGAGTGCAGCTGTAGACGGGCGTCCTCCGGGGCTAACACGGGGCACCTCACCACCACACACCGCGGGGCGCCTCCAGACCACTCACCTGGGGCAGGGGGGTGAAGGGGGTAGTTAGTACATGGGGCTAAAACGATGGTGGATTTAAATGAAGGTGGATTTAAAGAAGGTGGATTTAAATGAAGGTGGATTTAAAGAAGGTGGATTTAAATGAAGGTGGATTTAAAGAAGGTGGATTTAAATGAAGGTGGATTTAAATGAAGGTGGATTTAAATGAAGGTGGATTTAAATGAAGGTGGATTTAAATGAAGGTGGATTTAAATGAAGGTGGATTTAAAACGGTGTGACCTTATAGACTTACCTGAAGGGAGGCAGGTGATCTTGGGGGCACCTGAGAGGTAATGACCATCAGGGCAGGAGAAGGTGAGGGAGGCGCCCAAGGTGACGCTGTCTCCGTGTACATCCAACTTGTCGTCACTTGATACAGGAGGGCAGCTCACTCCTGTAGGAGGTGAGATATTATATAACACACACACACACACAGGACTACAAATTAACCTAAAAATATGAGCCAATCCCTACATAAAATCACCAATTAATCTCTCAAAATACCTAACCTAACCTAAACTAAACCTAACCTAACCATAACATCACCTGGAAATACCTGAACCTCAAACTAAAATACAAAATTCACCTGAAAATCCCCAAAAGGACCTAAAATGATATACAGAATCACCATAAAATATTGGGACAACAAAGGACGAAATTTCTTCCTATGAAAAAATACAAATATTTTATTTTCTTCTCCTATAATTTGCATATTGGAGATGATGAATTAAAGTGTAAAATTTAGTATTAAAAAAAAACTAATCTGATTATACAAAATATTGCATAAACTCAAGCTCTGTATATCACTTGATGGGGAATTGTGAAATGGAGTGAAATATCTGTAAGGAATTTCACCTCTGTTTTGATATGTAAAGTAGGGACACAAATTTTACCAGGGGGAATTTCGGTATATCAATGGAAAGGAAAATAGTCAATGTTTATTTTACCTAACCTAACCTAACCTGACCTAACCTAACCTGACCTGACCTGACCTAACCTGACCTGACCTGACCTAACCTAACCATCCCTGTAGCCTCGTTTACTCCTGGTGGGTGCAGGAGTTTGTATGTAAACAATGAACGCTGACGTCACTTGTCACGTGATATTTGTTGACGTCGCCGCCATATTGGAAGGATAGTGTTGATGATATGGGGACACACACACACACACACACACACACACACACACCTAACGAGGCGGGAAAGTCGAGTTCTTGTTGAGGAAATAATATTACGCTGCCATTACTGCATTTAATTACCTTGACAATTCATTACCTGCGTGTCATTACTTACCTTCATGACACACACACACACACACTCTCTCTCTCTCTCTCTCTCTCTCTCTCTCACTCTCTCTCTCTCTCTCTATCAGGATCGACAGTGAAAAGTGTGTCTGTTTATCCTCTATCAAAATAAATGATTAAAAGTATGTGTGTATGTCTCTCTCTCTCTCACACAAACACACAAACACATTCTCAACACCACAAACACACCTCCGGTTCAATTATCCTTCAACACTACCCTTGCTTCTCCTTCCTTCCTTCCTTCCTTCCTTCCCCCTCCCTCCCCTCAGCCTTTTGTGTGGTGTGAGGGAGATAATGGATGTTATTGAAGAGAATCCGTGGGTGTGTGTGAGCCAGCCAGTATAGTTAT